GTTAGGGTTTAGGGTCAATTCAGCGGTGGGAAGAGGACAGGGCAGAGTGGAAGTATGTTCCCAAGGCCGCAACTGTGGCGGATAAGCCGCGTTGAAAAACTGCTGTGGACGCCATACACCCTAAACCTTGGGTACTGCCCCCACCCAGTAACAGTCTGTACTAGGGGTCATATTAAGGGCTATGTATAGGTATATTATAAATATTATCCAGCTGTTACTGAGTGGGTGCAGTACCCAACCTAACCCCTAAACCCTAAGCCCTAAAGAGTCGCGCAGTCGCTGTTGTCTGAACCCCTTAGATGCCGCTTTTTACCGTATGTCGCCACTTGATGAACGAAAGACGCATCACCATAGTGGCCTGCGTTCCCCAAGGCGTCCCATACTAGCATGCTTTCGTAACTAGGCTGATCCCAGCAACTCACTAGAACCTTAACCCTCAACCCTTCTGGGCCGATCCCATCAATCTGATTAGGCTGCTTTCTACACTGAAGCCTCTAGATGGCTTTCGCCGCATGAACCTGTCACATGCAGTAGAATCACAACCTCAGATTAACTATGGTCTAAACGCCTTAAAGGGGGGTTATCTCGGAGGTTATAACATAGGGGAGTATTCTAGGGGTTGTCGGGGGGGATACTAGGAGCTTAGGCTATAGCTCACATCCCAAGTTCTAAACCTGAAAATAACCGCGAAGCATCCTGTTTAGCCCTGAACATCCACAAGTGCCAGCTATTTTTGCAATTCCTAGCCACTCTCGGTGGAGACCCTTGACCCTCTGCGGTTTTGTTGCCAGGCAACGTGGTGGATCCCTTGGATGCCATTGCCGACTATGGCACAGATGCCTTGCGATACGCGCTTTTGACAAGCAGCGCCCGGCGGCCTGGATACTAGGTTAAGGGTTTAGGGTGATCCCTTCCCCATAGTAATGGCAAACCTCCACACCTTTCCTAATAATTCAAATGTAGTCGTCTCTCAATAACATTTTACCTCAATAGCCCTAGGGCTCCAAATAGCCCACCGTAGTTAATATGTATAGACGTTAGGGACCAGCGTAGGCATCGTTTATAGACTTGTATAGGGCCCAGGGTAACAGCCCTGCCACTCCCCTGATCATGAACATGTAATGGTATCATGTTGGCGGATGATTTATCAAGAAGAGGGGGGCTTGCTTTGTATGAGGTGGAGGGGATTAGATTCCGACAGTTCCTCACATGCCAAGAACACCCCGTTCCGTCTGTCCTATAATTGGGAAGTCCCTCGGAATCGACCCGAGAGAATGAGGGGATCCAGCGGATGGAGGGTAAGGGCGACTTAGTATGTCGTAGCAGCGCGCATACTTATGCCCGCCATAAGCCACATAACAAGTCCAAGCATCCCCACGATTACCAGGGTTCAGGAGGGATTGGTAGGAATTTAAGGTTTGTGTTGCAGATTGACGATTCAGAGATGAGATTGGGGTTCAGGGTTTAGGTTACCCTTAACCCTGAGCCCTAAACCTCAAGCCCTAAACCGTCAACCCTAAACCCTAACACTCAAATTCCAAACCCAAACCCCAATCTTTGGGCCTGAAAATCTTCAAATCAGCCACAGTCTAAACTCCTAATCCCTTTAATAACCCCTATAGTCCCGTATATAATCCCTTATAGAATCTAGTTTCAGTAGTTTAGACCCTAAACCCTAAACCTGAAATCCTAAACCCTACTAAACCTTAAATCCTAAACCCGAAACCTGAAATCCTGTATAACCCCCCCCTTTCCAGGAGCTCAGATTATGGCTCAAATCATATCGGCTGTGCGCTGTTTGGATCACCAATCGAATCATAGCAGAGCTCAAACCTAGGGTTTAAAGATTTGGGGCGGGTTTGGAGTTTAGGGTTTAAGGCTTGGGGTTTGTTCAAGGTTTAGGATTCAGGGTTCAGGGTTTCGGGTAAAGGTTTCGGAAATAGATTTAAAGTTTAGGGCCTTTAGTTTCAGGTTTAGGGTTTACCTAAACCCTAACTTCAAAACCCCTAAACCCTGAAGTTTACGCTTTAAGCTCCTAGGACTATTTGGGGCTTTCTATGGCCCCCTGGGCTCTGGGGTCTACGGTTTGCTTGGCGGGTCATGGGGACTTAGTTTATTAGTAGGGTTACAGTAGGTAGGGTTTAGGCTTTAGGGGCAAGGGGGGACTTAGTAAGTAGGCTAATTGATAGCCCCTATAAGCTAAACAAGTGTATTTAAGTATCCTCATTATTAACCTACCTACTAAGCCCCCATGACCCTCCCATGATGAGGCTGCAAGAGCTTGCGGGAATGGTTTAGGTTCAGTAGTTGCAAGAACAGCCCGAAGGGTCCAGATGCCTACATACTTTGTACTTGGGGCTCAAAAAGGGTTCCACAGAGGTACCCTAGGGCCGAAGTATCTATTTTGAGGGTTCTGGATTATTTGGGACATAGCGAGACCTCGCAGAGCAGGCTGTGCACGACGGCCCCAATATCCACGAAACCGTTGTGATTCATTCTTTCCCAGGAACTCCTGTAGCTTCTGTTCAGAGTAGTACTAGCAATTACAATACCTTCTTAAAGCATAACAGACCCAAAAGGGAGCTGGATAGGCCACTTTCATGCTCTGAAAGATACTAAAATGCAATCGAGGTTGGCGTTTTGAGCACGATATGTGTCTCCATATATATGGTTCAATATTAGCATCCCGACTATATGCCCTTCCAATAGCAGGCTCGCCGTTTTACCCATAACTTCGTAAGACCCTTGTCAGACGGCTTCCCGCCAGGGGACCCATGTGTTTGTAGAATCCTCGTTCCAACAGTCTCCCATAGTATGTAAACATATATAATGGCTACAGTTATTGTAGCTCAGGTTTTTCCCCAGCCAAAAACCTGAAACCTTGATTTGAGGGGGAAACCCTTGATCCTACATTTCCGCGTTACCTGACCACACCCTCCCTTCTACCCCCCCTCTCTAGTTAAGGGGGACTATATCTACTTATTGCAGTAATGTAGGGTGCAAAACCCTAGACCCTGGACCTTGAACCCTAAAGCCTAGAATCTATAGTACAAGGGGAAGGGGGGGAGGAGGGGGGTTGGGGACTCCAGCCTGGGAAGTGCTGGAATTTTGTTGTTGCTCTGCGGGGCTTGACTGGGCTGCCCACCGCGGGAAGGGGGGGGTAATAGGGGTTACGGTTAAGCGGAGGAAAGGGTGGTTTTTTAGAGGGTTATGTAGGGTTCCAAACGCCCTGATCCTGCACCAGCCTCGGCGAATCAACCCAAGTAGCCCTAAACCCTTCACCCTAAATCCCACACGCTAAACCCTAAACTGAAGCAGCCCTTAGTCTCAAACCTCCCATCCTAAAACCTGGTTTAGGGTTTAGGGTCTAGGACCCTAAACCGCGACCCAGGTGCCGGGCATGGATGTGCCAATCAGCAAAGGTGGCCTCGAGAATGCGAAGGCACCAATTTCCCAAACGGTCCATGTAGCTATATAGGGGTTCTTAGGATTTAAGGTTTAGGGTTTAGGGTTTAGCTATATGAGCTATAGTCTAAACTCCTTGAAGGGGGTTATATAGGGGGATTGTATATGGGACTACTTTAGGGGATATTAGAGGGGATACTTGGAGTTTGGACTATGGCTCATATAGGGGTTCTCTAAACTCTAAAATTAGGGGTACTGCTCTGGGAATATCATATGTTGGGCCTCCTATTTGGGGAAACTGCATGCAGTATATACTTAGGCCCTAAAGTAATTATATGGGAACCCTTTTGGGCCTCTAGAATATATATTATGCCTACACGGAGCCTTTGGGTTTTGAATCGACTTACTCTCCTACCCTTAGTGATAACCACTTCCGACCCCCTCGTAAGAGTAAAGTACCACCCAATACAACGCAATTCTATATCAGGGGGAACGTTGTTCATTATGGGAAGGGGGGGGCCAGTATTCAACCCTAAACTCTAGCAGGTGGGGATTGCTGGTACTTCAAACCTCACAAGGCCAGAACATTTCATCGACTTTTAGAGTTCTAGGCTTTTGTTAAAGGGGAGTGCGTGAACGTATATAATAGTTGGAACTATTTAGGCTCAGCATATGGGGATATTCTAAACCCTAAACCCTAAAATAGGGATCCCTGAGCCCCTCAACCCTAAACCCTGAACCATCCATTTCCTGTGGAGCACCGCAGTAAGTTGAAAGTTTCTCAACAGAAGAGGACCCTTTGACCTGCCTTAAGAAAGATGAATGTATAGATGAGCTACGGAATAAGAACCCTAAACCCGTTGGGGGGGACCTAGAGGTTGATATATAGCATAGGGGATATATTCAGGGGACCTATCAAGGAATATCCTGGAACCCAGTCTAGTGGTCACAGATATGTATAAGAGAATAGACATGTACGTATTCATAGATGTATGGTGTGCGCCAATGATTTCGGACGTTTGAAAACGAATATGTTCTGCTTGTTGTCCATAGTCCTGAGTTTGATATGTCTGAAGCAATTGCGCAGAGACTTCGTAAGTGTGTACACTGTCGCTCAAAATCCCATTCTAGCCTCGACCTGCGGTTGATTCTGAAACTCCTGCATGACCTCAGTAAAATTTAGCACCACAGTTCGCAAGGTTGTATGATACTTATAAGCTCATGCAAGGCTTCGAGCATCCACCGCATCCCTACGCACCTAAGGGTATGAAGTATACAGATATACCATGCATATAATATGCACATATTACATGTATGGGTGTTACCAAAACTTGTGTCTCCTTTCTCTCCTCCTAAATACCATTATGGTCCTACTCATAAAGAAGGGACTCTAATCTCCGGAAACTCCCATTTATGTATTAACTCCGGGGTCCTGCAACGCACTCTCCCCATGCTCTTCTTTGGGAGGCATCCCCGCATAAGATCCGCACCCTGAACCCTAAATCCGAAGGCTTTTGCGAATAAGATCTGGAACGTCGGGCGATTCATCATCACCGAACATGAAAAGAATGCGGAGATTATTTCCACGGCGTGGGTCCCAGATGACTGCTTTGTGAACAGGGTTCTAGTTCCAAAAGGACAGTATCCCTACCAGGGTCCTCATATCCTTTGTATATTCCTGCTGTATTCTTGGGGGTTTCCCTTTTTTGGGGTCCCCATTGCCGTCCTTCTAAATCTGTTTGAGAAGCATAGAGTGTAGGATCTTGGCCTCGCGGAGGCTTTCCCTCCTCTAAAATTCGAGGCCTCCTTTTAGAGGATTGTGGTCTGCGGCTTCTTTTGAGTTCCACGCACGCCCATGGGCAGTTTGTTCTGCACAAGGAGGGCGCGGGTGCGGAATCCGCGCGAGGGGAGTAGGAGAACAGTTATAGGAATTTCCCCATCTAGGGTTTAGGGGTTATGGGTTTAGGAGCCCTAAACCCATAAACCCTAAAACCTAGATGGGGAAATTCCTATGACTGTAGTTCAGGGGTTTAGGGGTATCTAAGGAGTCATGCTTGCATCCTTTCCAAATAATTTTGGACCGGCTTAGGAGTCCCTCCTACACCCGCATTCCTAAACCCTATAAGCCCCAAACAAACCCTAAGTCGAAACCCTAAACCGCCCCTTCGCTCTGTTTTTGGGTCTGCGGTTTGAGGGGTTAGGGATTAGGGTCTCAGGGAAAAGGTTTAGGGTTGAGCCGTACTTATCGACACCGGAACCGGTCTCATGTAGACTACCCCGCCCGGTACTAAGTCAGGCTTTAAGTTATGAATATTTATCAGGGATCATTATGATTATCTATATAGGGATCATATACACTTATTCCCTACTAAGCCCCAGTAAGTCGAATCCAAGCTTACCAGAATGTGGGAATAAAGTATTTCAAAGCGTTCCCTAAGCCCTAAACCATACTATGGGTATATAGTACTTCACAGCGTTTTCTAAGCCCTGAACCCTAAGTTCCTGAAGTCGTCCTGGCGCCCAGAAGTTCGAGAGCGGCATGCAGTTCTCGGAGGAGGAGATCTCCTCCATGCCGTGCACCCAGGTTTAGGGTTAAGGTGTAAGGATTATAGGGTGTAGGGTTCGTGGAGACGAGTTTAGGGTTTAGGTGTTAGGGATCCAGGTTTAGGGTTTAGGCGTTAGAGTTTAGGATTTAGGTGTCAGGGGCTCAGGTGTTAGGGTTTGTAGGACTTAGGCGCTAATTAGGGATTAGGGTTTATTGGGTTTAGGGTTTAGGGCCTTTAGGGTTGCTTTAAACACGCAAACGTTCCTTCAGCGTTTCCCTTGGGCTTCCAAGTCTGCAAAGAGTACCGACACTGGGCCCTACACCTACAGTCTATACATATGAACAGTGTTGGGTTATTTGGCCCCTAAACCCTAAGACCCCTTCGGGTGTTGGGTCTATAGAAGTTTTAGCTACACAGGTTCTGTCTGTGAGGATTAGGCTGGGGTACAGAAGGAACCTTGACCCCTTTTTTCAGCTAGAAGTCGAAGCCCTAAACCCTAAACCCTACACCCTAAATCTTAACATGGGATAGGGTCCCTGTAGTAAGGATTATCGAATTTGGGGGTCGGGTACTTTCTTTTTATGGAAACTACCAAGTATCCAGAGGATCCAAGTACCTAATCGTGAACCATGGGGCGGTTGCAAGCGGTTTAGGGTTTAGGGTTTAGGGTTTAGGTTTTAGGGATGAGGGCTTAGGGTTTAGGACCCCAAAAGTATGTAAAATAATGGCCTTTGTGGCTGCTTTTTATGGGTTTAAGGCTATGATTTTACATACTGTTGGGGTTTAGGTACAGCAAGTTAGTTTCCATGGGCCACTAAGGCTACAAATAGCGTGGAGCTCTAAGTTATGATAAACCACTTGCAAATTGTACCTATATCCAGCTATCACTAGGAGCACTTAATTTAGGGCACCCATATCTGGGTAAACCCTGCACCCTAACCACAACTTGAAAGTAGCTTCTAACTACCCTTGGCCTCCAAGAATACCAGCTGTCCGCTCTGTAGTCTGTACATAGTAATCCCCTTCCACGGGCTTAGGGAAAACCTCCCGCACTGTGATGATGGATGTTTGCAAAACTTCAGGTCGGTGTTGGGAATACAATCTCTTAAAGAGGTGGCAGGGGTTTTGTTCTTACAGGGAGGGGCTTATATAGTACTGGATTTCAGGTCTGCAGCACTTTGTCCGCTTTTTCTGTGACAGTTCAACCATAGGCCATAGTTATAATTGAGATTAACATCTATAAGGCCGGGAAATTATAGGTAGTTACTAAGTCCCACAAACCCTAAACCCCAAACTTCAAGTACCAAGCTTCTGCCCCCTCAGTTCAGCAAACAATCCCTTTTTTCCCCTTTTTGAGGTCCAGTGTTCCTTGTAAAAACTGGTTGTAAATATTTAAGCGATTATCTTGTCATTATTCGTAATCTTTGTAGATATATAAGGTTGCATATAATATGGACACATTAGCTTTATGATTTTGTTCTTGGCATTATATCTGTTAGTGTTATCATTATTCCTGTTCGACGTGTGTTTTCTACTGTTGCATGTAGGTTTCTGGGTTTGATGAAAAGCTTCTGTTTGGGAGCTTGGAAAGGTCACGCTAAACCCTGTTTCTAGGCCTTGGCTTCTCCACAGGTGTTGCTTGGAATATCTGAAGCATCACGAAAGCGCTAGTGGGTGCACGTGGACGTCGAGGGATCAATATCTATGGCTTGGAATCTGGAAGTCCAGGCCAATTATGACCTACATATAATTGTGGTCATAGACCAAGTCAGTAAAAGTCCGGCAAGCTACAGTTGGGTTATCAGTACTTGTGGATCGCATGGGTCAGTCTTGCTTATAAGAAAAGAACAGCCTAGACCTTGGATGAACTTGGAATTCTTGTCTTTGTGTCTCAAACGTGTTGTGGGCCATTATTCTCATTATTTTCTTATTATGATTCTCATTCGTATTATTATTGTGGCTTTTGGCTTCTGAATGGGCTTTGGGCCACACTTTGTTCAGCTTCTGGGGTCCACGTAGACAGCTGAAGCTCAGCATTTGCTTCGTGGTCCTTCTCCTGGCTTCTTCTTGCTGAGGGTTTAGGGTTTAGGATTCAGTGGTTTTTACTTCTTCTGATCAATGTCGCTACTGTGCTGTTTTGCGTCAGTAAACCTCAAGCCCCAACTAAACCCTAAACCCCCTTTGTTCCTTTCCTGTCTGAAGGCAGCAGGCATTCTCTACCATCCCACAGGTCTCATTCATGAATACCACGCACGAACATTTTTGTGAAGCCAAAGCAACCCCAAACTCTCTAGACCCTATAGTCGCCCTGAAGTAGATAGAATATGGGACATATTCAGATCTTATTATAACATACCCAAAGCCATAGTCTATCTACTTAAGGGGGGCTATAACCAAATTAACCTAAAAATCAAACCTTGGAGCCTAAACAGTAAGCCTGAGGATCTTGGACCTTCATACTGAGATCCTCAAAATGAAGCCTCCTAGGAGCGTTAAGCATTCAACCCTGAACCTCACGTCCTAGGATTTAGGGTTTAGGGTCTAGGGATTAGGGATTTAGGGTTTAGGGATTTAGGGGTCTAGGGCTTAGTTTTATGGTTTAAGATTTGAGGGTTTAGGGTTTAGGGTTTAAGATTTGGGGTTTAGGGTTTAGGGTCCCTAGCCCTAAACCCTAAACCCTAAACCCTAAACCGATTTAGGGTTTAGGATCCCTAGCCCACGGGATTCCTTCGTCGTTTCAGGCCCTGGCTCGAGCGGGCTCTTCTCTCGAAGCCTGGAACCCAAAGCATCGGGGCGTTCGGGGTGTATAGTCTCCCTACAGTAGACAGAATATAGGGTTTAGGGTTTAGGGCTCATAGCCCCCCTAAAATAGATAGATTTGGGGTTTAGGGTTTGGGGTTCATAGTCCCCCTAAAATAGATAGAATGGAGGGTTTAGGGTTCATGTTCCCCTTAAAATAATAAGTAGAATATGGCTTTGGGTATATTATACTAAGATCCCCATACCCCATAGTCTATCTACTCAAGTGGGACTATAGGTGTTCAGCGGTTTATGGTTGAGGCTTCGGGGTTTTGGGGTCAGGGCTCACTTTTTGTGACTCAGAGATCAGTTTCAGCAACTTTCATTGCAGGGAGTTGTGGATACATGACGATTTGGGGGTTTGATTGCTTAGGGTTTCCAAGGGCAAGTTTTTGCGGAGTATGCCCAACCCTCAAAACCCTTGACCCCAGACAGGTTCTGCTTTGAGTTTTGGGTTATGTTTGCTCAGAGCCCATGCGGACCACTTTTGCAGTGCCCTAGTCTTCACAATTATATACAGTTACCCTATGCCCCAAACCAATGAAAGTGGAGTTGAAGATTACTACAAGTTCCCTGAAGTATCGTAGCTATGGCAGATACAGGTGGTAAGCCACGCAGATTTACCCTTCCCAAGCAAATCTCCTCCTCTAATCAGAACCAATTATACAGCACCATTATTAGAACAGGCGTAATATTGATCATTGGGTTTGGGGGGATACTTCAAGGTGGACCCCCGAAACGGGCTGCTCATGCTTGCTCGAGGATGCTATGGTGAAGGGCAGCCTGATTGAGCTTGTAAAATCCAATGAAATGTTTGGGTTGAAATACACCCAGACGGGTCGTAAGTCCCCTCCCATTAACAACCTTCTCTCCCCTTTTTTGCTCCACATTTCCTACATGATTGTATGAAGGCACTTCCGTCGGAATGTTCTGAGGGGTTAGGGCTTCATCGTTGGGGAAGGCTGCAATGTCCAGACTGGACACCGTTCCCTTGATCGATATGCATTAGGAGGACCCCCACTCTGCAATAGAAGGACCCCCACTCTGCAATAGTGACTGTAAGGATAATAGACACTTTTTTAGGGTCCTCTCATACTCCTAATACACCACTATTACAAGGTAGGGTGGTCCTCCTAAGATATGCAATACTGTCAGCATCATCGTCACATAGGCAGTACTTAGTCTGTACATAGCATTCTTTATGTTGATTGGGCAAAGGCTCCATTATTCCATTAGCAAAGGCTCGTTTCCGTTCCAGCAATGTTGGACTCACTTCGATGACAGGGCTTTGTTTGAGATGTTTCGGCCGACGGTGAAAGGGTTCGAGGCTATTTTTTTGCCGAGCAGAATCCAAACCTTCCCCTGACAATCAATATCCGGAGCCCTGAGAGCCGAGGGAGGGCCACAAAGGGGC